CTAAACCCTAAACCCTAAACCCTAAACCCTAAACCCTAAACCCTAAACCCTAAACCCTAAACCCTAAACCCTAAACCCTAAACCCTAAACCCTAAACCCTAAACCCTAAACCCTAAACCCTAAACCCTAAACCCTAAACCCTAAACCCTAAACCCTAAACCCTAAATTAGTGGAGAATATGAATATGGCATTACCGTAAGTTAGGCTTGGGGTTCAGCAATTGGTAGATGAGGATTGAAGCTTCAGGATGCTTTACATGAGAAAGGTTAACTTGATTGTTATTTAAGATGTTGGTATCACGATGACTATCTCCAAAAGGATGGCTACCCGTTATGGCGTAACATAGGATACACCCAAACCTGAACATGTCAACAGCTTCATTGGCATCGTTCTTGCGAAGCTGCTCTGGTGCTTGCCATCCCGGACTACCATGACCTGAAAAAATTATGCATTCATTACAATTTGTTTTATGAGAATAATCATCGATTCAACCATAATACATTCCATCACATACGGGCACAACTTAGCTTGCATTTTCATTACCAACCTAGGCCATTACTTTTTTCTATCAATCAATATGGTGATCAACCTAACACAACAATGAGGAACTTACATGTGGGCTGGTCATCAGTGGATGAACTATCCTCATTGAGACGCTTGCTAATGACGAAATCAGAAATCTTTGCGGTCAAATTCGTCCCTTTAGCTAATATTAGCACATTTTGTGGCTTCAAGTCTCGGTGAACTATTTTCAACTCGTGCATGTGGGCAAGTCCAGAAACTATATCTCTGCATCAATCACAAACAGTTCGAAGAATGTGAGCTATGATTGTAAATTAAAAAGTATGAAATATGCATCAAACCACAAACAACATAAAATATGAAATATGCATAAAATTCGAAGTCTAAATTAACCTCAATAGTTTTAGCATTAGAGGTAATGGATTGCCCACCGCTTTCCAAAAATTGAATTTTTCCATAGCTTCTTCCCAAGAATCCAGAGGAGCTACTGCTTTAGGTGATTTGCTAAATTTTCTCATAGTTAATCTTATTAGATCATCTAAATTGCATGTCCAACGCTCTAGACAAATGTACAAGAAATCCTGATCGTGCTCAAAACCATGAAGACGAATGATGTTGGAGTGATCGTCAGATGCACAGAGGATTTCAATCTCGTTCATATCAGCAGCCTTGGCACGCGATAGATGAAGACATTTTACAGCGACTAGACGTCGTTCATAATTACCCTCAAACACCTCATAGTCGTTGCTTCCATTTTCAATTTTTGTATCTGATACAAACCAGCCCCGGCTCTAACAATCGAGAAGCCTTAGGGCGACTTACAAAAAGGGCCTTTTCAAGCATGCTAAAAACAAAAACCATTTCATATAATCATGTCTTAAGCTCCATGTCTTCATCTACCACATTCCTTTATATTGCATCATATCTCATATTTGTTTATTTTTGTTTTCAGAAATCGTATGCGTATGAGCCGGAGGTTCAGCTATTGAGATTCATCGAGTACCTTGAGAGAACACTTTCCGCTGTGCAATTTCCATGGGCGAATATGTTCAAGGAGTCTCCTTTGCCCAAGCTGATCGACGTGATCGATGTGAGCTATTTCTTTTACATTTTTCTTTAGATTCTAGGTTAAATTGTGAAGCTGATTATCTTTTTTGTTTACAGGTTCCTTTATCGCAAATTCCCGACCCTGTCTACAAAACATCAGTCGATTGGATCAACCATCTTCCTCTTATGACACTATGTGGCTTTGTTTTGTGGGCGTTTAATCATATTCTCACTTATTTGGCAGCAGCACAACTAGGACATACCAAAGGTGGGGAGAAGGGTGCGCAACATACGTCTTCCAAGTCTCGGGTAATTTTGGAAAACCTTTCTCAGTGTCAGAAATCTCATCTATTCTAATGCTTGCATCAATTTTATCGCTTTCACCTATGTCTGTGTGTTGAATGTTGTACCATTGTTTGGCTAACTCCATTATGTTCTATTTCTTTTACAATTAGGTAGCAATATTTGTTGCATTAGCAATGGTATTGCGTAACAGACCTAATGCTTTGGCTATTGTATTGCCGACTCTGAGGGAGAAGCGTAAGTATCAAGGACATGACAAGCTTCCGATTACAGTTTGGATGATGGCTCAGGTTCGCGTTGTGTTTAATTCCCCTTATGTGAACTTGGACCAAGTGTATCGAAATTTATGTTTTCTGTGATCTGTATTCTGAAAGTTTTAGAACTGTAAAAATGTGGACAGGCCTCCCAAGGTGATTTATCTGTAGGCTTGTATTCATGGTCGCGTAACTTGTTACCACTAGTCGGTAGCAACCCTCAGTCAAGGGATCTCATCCTGCAGTTGGTTGAGAAGTGAGCGAAATTTTTCTTGTGATCTCCTTTGCCATATACAATCATCTGATCTTGTTTATGCAATTTTCTTGTCAGAATTTTGTCGAATCAAAATGCTCGGACTATACTTGTAGATGGAGCTGTTGAAGAGGGACCACGACTGATTCCACCTCTTTCATTTGAGATCTTGCTGCGGCTTACATTCCCTGCTTCATCCGCAAGAGTAAAGGTAAGCAGTCTTATCGGAATTGCTAAAACAAAACCTTCATGCGTTTGTCAATTCTGATCACAAGCATGGTCACTATACGCACACAGGCTACAGAGAGGTTTGAGGCAATTTATCCTTTGTTGAAGGAAGTGGCTCTTGCCGGTGCATCAGGAAGCAAGTTAATGAAACAAGTCACTGAACAGATATTCACTTTTTCTTTGAAATTAGCTGGAGAAGGTATTAGTAACAAACGGAACCTTGAATCCTTGAGTTTTCTGGTTCCCTCTCTCTTCTCGAAATAGAGTTCTAATGTGTTACCGTTGTTACAGGAAATCCTGTTTTAGCCAAGGAAGCTACAGCAATCGCTATCTGGTCTGTGACCGAAAATGTAGATTGCTGCAGGCTCTGGGAAAATCTCTATGAGGAGAACGAAGAAGCTAGTGTTGCTGTTCTTAAAAAGCTTGTAGACGAATGGAAGGATCATTCTCTCAAACTATCATCATCACCAAGTGATACTCTCACTCTCAGTGGAACTATGGAGAGCTTAAGGCTAAAGGTAATGCCTCTTACTCTTCTGAGATAACTTATTTCACCCTCCACTCAGTTGTAATTTCATCTCTGACATAACCTGTGATGCTTTTAGAACGAAAAAGCCATCACTGAAGGAGGAGCCAATGGTTCTCTTTACAAAGAAGCTGGCAAGTCTTGCAGAGTGATCTCGGGGAGACTCTCCCGTGGAAGTGGCTGCCTCAAAGGTACATCCATTACTGTTGTGGTTCTAGCTGCTGCAGTTGTACTATCTTCCAACCTGGAGGCTACATCCGTGCTGAAGAAGCTGGTGGACTCGGTGGATCTGCACCTATACTTCAATGCAATCATCACAGCTTTGAAGAACTAAGAGAGAAATATCATTGTCCTTGCTTTTCTTTTGCTATGAATTAGTGCATATATATATATATGTTAGATATGTCATCAATCTTGTTGGTTGGTGGGTATTATTCACTCAAATAGATATTTAATGGTTTTACAAAAACTTTTTTCTTGCATCGTAGAAGTTTGTGTGTGAGCCAAAGAATTTTTTTAAGCCAATGCTTCCTCTTAGCGAAGGAACTGGGTTCACCCCTTAATTCACATCTTCTAAATCATCTCTTCTCTTACTACTAATAAAAGGTGCTAATTGAGGCTTCTCTTGTATTCGTTTCTTTTATGTATCAATCTAATTGATTGCTTTATATAAAAACAATCAATCTCATTAAGTAATGATTCGGCTCCTCTTCCTCTTTCAGTTACTCTTTTGTTCATGAAGAAATCAGATTCCCACGAAACACTTTTGCCAAAATGGTTCACACCAAGAAGCCCACAAAATAATCACATTTTGGTAACTTTGGTGGCAGATCAAGGTTCCAAATGTTGAAGGCAACTTAGCCATGGCTAGAAAACAAAATATAGACGAAGGGATCATCCAAGGAAAAATCCTAGAAAGAGATCGATACCAAGAGTGACAAAAGCGGAAGATAAATGCGGCAAATGCCAGAAAACCAAGCCGGAACGGTGGTGATGAAATTTTCGATTTCCTTGTGCCGTAGCGTTAGTACGGGAAAGAGATGGATATTGAAATAGTCTCCGGCATAATCCAAACGTAGGCACTGAAGTTAAGTTGAATATTCCTGATGATGCACGTATGTTCTTCAGAAATAATAGTGTAAACGTGTGATTAAACTTTTTGACTTAATTGTTTGCAGAACTACGTCAGTAATCCGAGAATTATCTATCAAAGTTAAATATTTTGGACTTGCTAATCTTTGGAACTGTTATGGTCAGCTGAGCGAATATGGCTTTGGTTGACCAATGGTGAACTTTGCAGTTCAACAAAAGAATATTTAAAGTGTGTATCAAAATACATTAACAATGTGGAAGCCCCCTTGTCCCATTGGTTGAACAAGGGTTGATTAATGCTTCTACACCAAGAGGTCTGGGGTTCGAGTCCCAGATATTGCGATTTATTAACAAATTTGCAGATTAATGGAGGCAAGTGTGCAAGAGATCTCCAGCGATGTACAATTATAGCCGTTCGCCAGGATTCTACGCAGATAAGGAAGTGTCGCCAGGTCGTGGATCATTGAAGGTATTCATCAAGATTACGAAGAAGGAAGTGTAGTCTGTCGTGGATCTAGTAAGAGTCGGAAGGAATTGTCAGTTGTAGAATCTTCTATGTAACAGTTCTCATAATTTGCAATTAATAATAAATCTAGATGACAAAAAAAAAAAAAATACATTAACAATAGCCTTTCGGATATGTCTTTTGCTGGAGCTCATATATTGTGGATCATAAACCATTTGTATAATGATTTTTTTAATTAATAGAAAAATATTTTGACTAAAAAAACCAAAAAATATAGAAGCAGATGCAAAAACGAAACAAGAAAGGAATGGAGGATGCGGCGACCACAGAATCGAAATGAGAAAACACGTGGAGAGGAACGCGTGGACAGCTAGTAAAAAAGAAAACACTTTGGTCTGTTTTATCCATTTGAGAGAGAGAGAAGTGTTGAAAGGGCGAAATTGGGCCTACAGTAATCCCAAATCCTATAGTATTATCCTTATCCTCTCTTCTCTTGTCTCTTTTATTCTTCAATCTCTTCTTCTCCTAACAGACCCAACCCTCGTCGAATCGCTGTGCTTTGACGCTTAATCTCAATCGAGGAGGGGGCGATGGGATTGTTGAGTTCCTTGGTCTTTCCCGCCCTCGGCTTCTCTGACCTTTTAGTATTTGTTGCGCCACTCTGGATTGCTGTCGCTGCCGGGGTTTTGGTTGGTTGGTTTTGGAGACCCAAGTGGGCTTATCTCGACACAAAACCCTTCTTATCCGATTCTTCACCTAAATTCTTCAAGCTTCCCACTTCCATCCTCAAGACCTCTTCTCACAGGTGATTTCTTATTTCCCCCACAAGCACTTTCCTTGTCTGCTAAATTAATAAATATCTCTCTACTTTTTTTCTATTGCTGCAGCCTTTCTTCTCCCCAGGCTGATGAGAAAGAGAAATCTGGGTTTGTTACGGACGATGATTTTAGGCATCTATGGAAGTTGGTTGAGGTCAAAGATGGCGGCCCTGCTTGGATTCAGATGATGGACCGATCAACTCCTACCTTCTCATATCAAGCTTGGAGGCGAGATCCTGAGGTACCTCCCTCCTCCCCTCTTCAACTTTCAATTCTCTGTGCAAAATGTTTTAAGCTTTAACATGATGTTCCAAGTTGAATCATTTTTCGTATGTATGGTTGCCAGAATGGGCCTCCCCAGTACCGTAGCAGAACTGTGTTTGAGGATGCCACTCCCGAGATGGTGAGAGACTTCTTTTGGGATGATGAGTTCCGTTCCAAGTGGGATGATATGCTTTTGTATTCTTCTACTCTCGAGCGTTGCAAGAGCACGGGCACTATGGTTGTGCAATGGGTGCGCAAGGTCGGTACTTGTTTCATTTTTTCTTAGCTACCTTGTTTTTGCTTCTTGACTTATATCTATATCTTCCCCGCTGCTGTTGCAGTTCCCTTTCTTTTGTAGCGACAGGGAGTATATTATAGGCCGTCGAATATGGGATGCTGGCCGAGTCTTTTACTGCGTTACAAAGGTATTCCTTCGCAAATATCAAGCTTTTCTAGTTAGATCCGTGCAGGACATGTGTTCCTTCTTCTTGTGGATTTCGTTTTTGAATTCACTTTTTTTTCATGTTCCCTTGTATTTGCGTCAGGGAGTACAATACCCGTCTGTACCTAGACAAAACAAGCCAAGGCGAGTCGACTTATACTATTCAAGCTGGTGTATCCGTGCAGGTACTACTACTAAGCAAGTTGTCTCTGTTTTAACTGTTGTTTAGTGTTTCAAATGGATATTATCTTGGTGTAGTTGAATCAAAAAGAGGCGATGGTGAGATGACATCATGTGAGGTACTACTATTTCACCATGAAGATATGGGAATACCGTGGGAGATTGCAAAGCTCGGGGTGAGACAGGGGATGTGGGGTGCAGTGAAGAAAATTGAGCCAGGCCTACGTGCATATCAGAGGGCCAAAGCAGCGGGAGCAGGTTTATCCCCAAGTGCCATAATGGCTCACATCAACACCAAAGTGAGTGCAGAGGAGTTCATGAATGAGAGGGATTCGATAGCAGAGATTACTGGAGAGAAGCCGACAGGGAAAAACATACCAAAGATACTAGTGGTGGGAGGGGCGATTGCCCTTGCATGTACACTGGACAAAGGGCTGTTGACAAAGGCAGTGATATTCGGAGTAGCCAGAAGATTTGCAAGAATGGGGAAAAGGATGTAGGAGAGTGTACATGTAAGTAGACAGAGAGCGAATGAGGGAATGAGAGAGGTGAAAGCAGCTCTTGTTTTGCAATTTGAATGGTGAAAGGCTGTCTCTTTAGTCTTGTTAATGCCGCGGATAAATACGAATATGATCTTTGGATATCAATGGATTCTCAAAGACAACTCGTAGCTCGGAGATCTCAGCTTTGTGTATCAATGGATCACGAAACAGATATATCAAAGACTTCTTTGAGAAAAGCTTTCTCTTTATTAATATTCAAAAACAACCAGTTCTCTCCTTACAAATAAGAGGAGTATTTATAAGACTCAAAGAAACGTAAAAACCCTAGTCGGAGCTTGACGTCCAAGCAAAACCTTAAACCGACTTAATTATAAATCCCATAACAAATAATAAAGCCCAACAAGAATAAAAAATAAAGATAGAGTAAGGCTTGATAAGAGAACAGAAAGATGTCGCTACATCAGGTCACCGGGGGTAAAGAAGAATTCGTCCTCGAATCGACAACCTCATCATCACCAACGAACGGGAACAAGTGCTTAACATTAAAAACATTGGCCGTGTGCATGTGGGGAGGCAAACGAAGCCTGTAAGCATTATTATTAATCTTCTCCAATACTTCCAAAGGACCAATCTTACGAGCTTTCAGTTTATTGTATGTCGAAGCCGGAAATCTATCTTTTGTCAAGACAGCCCACACCAAATCACCAACTTGAAACTGCACTTCTCGTCTATGAACATCAGCCGCAGCTTTATACTTAACTGTTGCAGCCTCTAAATTTGCTTTGACCTTGTCATGAACAGAACGAAACTCATCAACAACATCACAAGCTCTCCCATGAAAACGTGAACGATCTGGAGCAACACCTAAGTCAAGTGGACCACGAGGTGCAAAACCATACATCACGTGAAATGGACTAAATCCCGTGCTACGATTCACTGCATGATTATGCGCAAACTCAGCCTGACAAAGAACCCTATCCCAAGAGCGAATATTGTCACCAACCAAGCACCGCAAAAGATCACCTAATGCACGATTAGTCACTTCAGTTTGGCCGTCGGACTGAGGGTGATAAGCCGAGCTCATATCCAAACTAGTTCGGAGCAACTTCCACAACGAACGCCAAAAATGGCTCAAAAATCGAGAATCTCGATCAGAAACAATGGACAAAGGAAGACCATGAAGACGATAAATGTCGCGAAAAAATAATACAGCCACCTGTGAAGCATCCGTCGTCTTTTTGCAAGGAATAAAATGAACCATTTTTGAAAATCGATCAACAACCACAAAAATAGAATCATTACCACGTTGCGTACGGGGTAAGCCAAGGACAAAGTCCATGCTAACATCAGTCCATGGTTGTGTTGGAATCGGTAAAGGCAAATACAATCCAGCATTAGAGGCTTTACCCTTTGACGCTTGACAAGTCCCACACCTGACCACGAACCGCTCAACATCTCTTCTCAATGTAGGCCAGAAATAAGATTCAGCTACTAGCTTAAGTGTCCTATCACGTCCAACGTGTCCTTCTCCATGTAATTCCTGAATCACTTGTAACCTGAGACTACAGTCGGGAATACAAAGCTTAGTCCCCCGAAACAGAAAGCCATCCACAACAAGATAATCAGAGCTACTGTCCATCTCAATGTCATTCCAGATTTTCTTAAAAAAAGGGTCTGTAGGGTACAGCTCCGGTAACATTTCAAAACCAGTGATTGATGCATGAGAAGTCGCAAGTAGTGAGTGTCGTCGGCTAAGCGCATCAGCCACTCTATTAAGCGTACCCGCCTTGTGCTTAATCACAAACGTGAACTGTTGTAAATATGCAAACCACGAAGCATGCCGCGAAGAAACCTTATCTTGAGCTCCCATATGCTTAAGTGCGTCATGATCAGTAAACAACACAAACTCCTTATGAAAAAGATAGTGACGCCAATGCTTAACAGCTTGAACAACGGCGTATAGTTCAACATCATACGTACTATAACGCCCACGTGAACCCGCTATCTTCTCACTAAAGAAGGCGACCGGTTTGCCCAATTGACTTAACACCGCTCCAATGCCCGTTTTAGATGCATCGCAATGGAGTTCAAATGCTAAAGAAAAATTAGGAAGTACCAGAACAGGGGCTGAAGATAGCCTCATCTTTATTTCTTGGAAAGCAGCTTCAGCTTCTTCCGTCCAAACAAAGGTACTAGACCGCATACAGTTCGTAATCGGAGCCATTATACCGCTAAAATGTTGAATAAATCGTCGGTAAAAAGAGGCCAGTCCATGAAAACTCCGAACTTCCGTCACAGTACTCGGTGAAGGCCATGATTGTATTGCACTTACTTTAGACGGATCAACTTTCAAACCTTCTGTAGAGATGACATAGCCAAGGAAAATCACTTGCGAGACTCCAAACGAACACTTTTTAGAAGCACCAAATAATTTTTCACGGCGTAATACAAGAAGCACTGCACGCAAATGGTCAAGATGCTCTGCAAGAGACGAACTAAAGATTAATATATCGTCAAAATACACAACCACAAATCGCCCAATAAAAGGTCGCAACGCTTGGTTCATAACACGCATGAACGTGCTCGGTGCATTTGACATCCCAAAAGGCATAACCAGCCATTCAAATAATCCTTCTCTTGTTTTAAACGCAGTTTTCCACTCATCTCCAGGACGTATACGAATTTGATGATATCCACTCTTCAAGTCTAATTTGGTGAATATAGTAGCTGAACCAATCTGATCCAACAGGTCGTCTAAGCGAGGGATAGGAAATCGATACCGCACAGTAATCTTATTAATCGCACGACTATCAACACACATACGCCATGTTCCATCTTTCTTGGGAATAAGAAGTGCAGGCACCGCGCACGGACTTAAACTTTCGCGAACATATCCCTTAGCGAGGAGCTCTTCTACTTGACGACGCAGCTCATCATGCTCTTTCGGACTCATACGGTAATGAGGACGATTAGGCAACACCGTATTTGGCACTAAATCGATGCAATGTTGAATATCTCGCAACGGTGGCAAACCGTCGGGTAAATCATCAGGGAAGACATCTTGAAACTCGTGCAACATCTCATGGAAAGATTTTGGTGCGGTTTCTTGCAGCAACGAAGTACCTGGTTTCAAAATTAGAATATACATCAAATTGGTACTTTGAATTTCGTCAAAAACCTGAGTCTTTGACACCAACAACGCAGGTTTAGAAATCTCTGGTGAAATCACTGCCTTCTTGTCTTGACTAGCAACCAAAGGCTCGGATGCCGACTGTGAGGGCAGCAAAGTAATGCGTTTCCCTTCGAAGCTAAAACTATGAGTGTTTGCAAACCCGTCATGCATTGTTCGTCGATCGTACTGCCAAGGACGTCCCAACAAAAGATGACAAGCGTCCATAGGAAGAACATCACAACAAATGAGATCTTTATAATTTACTCCTATTGAGAACGGCACACGACAACGCTTTGAAACATAAGTGTCAGTAGATGAATTTAACCAAGCCAATGGATAAGGAGTCGGATGAGGTTCTGTGAACAAGGCCAGCTTTGTCACGGCTTCCTCCGAGATGACATTGGTGCAACTCCCTGAATCAATAATCATACGACAAACCTTCCCTCGAATCGTACAAGTGGATTGAAAAATATTAGTACGTAACCATGATTCTTCAACTCCGCGAGGAAGAAGATGGTTGCGTCGTAACATCAACATAGTCCATGTGTCACCGATTACTTGCTCACCGTTCTCTTCAGCTTCACCATTATCATCTACATAGTCATCATAAACCGGATCATCATTAGCAAACAGTCCGCGTCGTAGCTTTGGACAAGCTGATTGGCGATGGCCAAGCTCGCCACAATTGAAACATTTAAATCCCGGAGCTTTCTGTGGTGCAATCGTAGGACTTGCTTCTGATTTGTCAATGGCGATTGAGTGATCGAGAATTTTGTTATTGTTAGTCTCTGTAGTAAAAGCTGGCCGAACACGAGAAGAATTCCAAGTAGCAGCTTGACTCCGAGAGTTCTGCTCGATCAACAGAGCACGTTGATGTGCTTCAGAAACTGTTAAAGGATTAAATTGAAGCAGCGTATTCTGAATTTGTACCCTTAATCCTCCAATAAAACGAGATACTAACTGATCCTCTGTTTCGCTTAAAGGGTTCCGAGCAAGTAATGAAAAGAATTCTATGGCATAATCATCAACTGTTTTTGCCCCTTGCCGCAAATTTTGGAACTTTGTGTAGATCGTACGAGCATAATTGTAAGGAAGAAAAGCTCTTCTCATCAATTTTTTTAATTTTTCCCAAGAAGCAATTTTCTCTTTACCAGCTCGCTCTCGAGTGTCCTTAGTTTGCTGCCACCATGCCGAAGCCCTGCCTCTAAAACGCGTTGCTACAAGAGAGACGCGCATCGCATCCGGTACATCCTTAAACGCCAACAACTCCTCTGTTGTGTTTAACCAATCAAGGAATTCTTCTGCTTGCAAACTACCCGAGAACTCCAGTAATTCTAGCTTGAACCCTGATTCCCACCTCCTATCTTCAACACGCGGGGCAGCTATGATACCACGCTGTTGATTTTCCCGATTCTGCAAGTCACCAAGTTGCGCAAAAGGGTTATCTTCAACATTCTCCTCTTCTTCTTCTTCCACAAAAACTCGTTCTTCATGTCTCCGTACGCCTGGACCATCACGCTGAGCTTGGGAGAGAGCTCGAACTGCAGATTCAACGGTAATACGCATAGTATCACGAAAACTCTGTTGCATCTCAGTCATCATCCTCCGAAATTCATCGTTGTGTTCGTCAAGCTGGGTTTGAAGAGTCTTCTTTGGAGGCATGATTAGGATCTTTGGCTCTGATACCAACTAATGCCGCGGATAAATACGAATATGATCTTTGGATATCAATGGATTCTCAAAGACAACTCGTAGCTCGGAGATCTCAGCTTTGTGTATCAATGGATCACGAAACAGAGATATCAAAGACTTCTTTGAGAAAAGCTTTCTCTTTATTAATATTCAAAAACAACCAGTTCTCTCCTTACAAATAAGAGGAGTATTTATAAGACTCAAAGAAACGTAAAAACCCTAGTCGGAGCTTGACGTCCAAGCAAAACCTTAAACCGACTTAATTATAAATCCCATAACAAATAATAAAGCC